TTAGAAATAATAAATGAACTTAGTAAAGTTGCAGGTACAAAATTGAAATGCAGAAATACATTGTGCTCCTATACACACAATGAGAACGAACTATCAGAAAGGGAAATTAAGAAAACAATCCCATATACAATTGCATCAGAAATAAATCTAACTACGGATATAAAAGACCTATACTCAGAAAACTATAGATACTAATGAAAGAAAATGAAGATGACACAAACAAATGAAAAGCTATTCTGTGCTCATAGATTGGAAGAATTAATACTGTTAAAATGACCAAACTACCCCAGGCAATCTACAGATTCAAAGCAATCCCTATCAAAATACCAATGGCATTTTTCACAGAACTAGAACAAACCATTCTAAGATTTTTATGGAAACACAAAATACACCAAATATCCAAAACAATCTTAAAAAGAAGAACAAAACTGGAGGCATCATGCTCCCTGATTTCAAACTAATAGTAAACAAAACAGTATGATACTGGCAAAACAAACAAACAAACAAACAAACACATAGCTCAATGGAACGGACTAGAGAGTCCAAAAATGTACCCACACTTATATGTTCATTTACTCTCCAACAAAGGATGCAGGAATATACAATGGGGTAAACACAGCCTCTTCCATAAATGGTGTTAGGAAACCTGGACAGCTACATACAAAAGAATCAAGCTGGACTTCCTTTTCACAGGATATACAAAAATAAACTCAAAATAGATTAAAGAATTAAATGGAAGACCTGAAACCATAAAACTCCTAAAAGAAAACATAAGCAGTATGCTCTTTGACAACGATCTTAGCAATATGTTTTTCGATCTCTCTCCTCAGACAAGGGAATCAAAAGTAAAAATGAACAAATGGGACTGCATCGAACTAAAAAGCTTTTGCCCAGTAAAGGAAACTATCAACAAAATGAAACGGCCACCTACTGAATGGGAGAAGATATTTGCAAATGATATATCTAATAAGGGGTTCATATTCAAAATATACAAAGAACTTATACAACCCAACATCAGAAAAACAAATAACAAGACTAAAATATGGGCAGATGACCCTAATAAACATTTTTCAAAGAAGACTTAAGGATGGCCAACACACACATGAAAAGATGCTCAACATTACTAATCATCAGGGAAAGGCAAATCAAAACCATAATGATTTATCACCTCACAACTATCAGAATGGCTATCATCAAAAAGACCACAAATAACAAATGTTGGTGAGGATGTGCAGAGAAGCGAACCCTCATGAACTGTTGGTAGAATGCAAACTGGTGCAGGCACTATGGAAAACAGTATGGAGATACCTCAAAAAATTAAAAATAGAACTACCATATGATCCAGCAATTCCACTCCTGGCTATTTATCCAAAGAAAACAAAAATGCTAATTCAAAAAGATATATGCTCATACTAAGTGAAGTAAGCCAGACAGAGAAAGATAAATATCATATGATATCACTTATATGAGGAATCTAAAAAAATGATCCAGATGAAGAAAGACAAATATCATATGATATCACTTATATATGAGGAATCTAAAAAAAATTATACAAATGAACTTATTTACAAAAAAGAAATAGATTCACAGACACAGAAAACAAACTTATAGTTACCAAATGGGGGGAAGGGATAAATTGGGAGTTTGGGATTAAAATATACACACTACTATATATAAAATAGATAACCAACAAGGACCTACTATATAGCACAGGGAACTATACTCAGTATCTTGTAATAACCTATAACAGAAGAGAATGTAAAAAAAGAATACAAATATTTACATATTACAAAGTGAATCACTTTGCTGTACACCTGAAGCTAACACAACATTGTAAATCAACTATATTCCAATAATTTTTTTTTAAAAAGAAAAAATATATATATGCACCCCTATGTTCATTGTAGCATTATTCACAATAGCCAAAATATGGAAGCAACCTAACTGCCCATAGATACATTAATGGAAGATGTGAATATTACTGAGCCATGAAAAAAAGTAAAATCTTGCCACTTGCAGCAACATGATGGACCTAGGGGGTTAGACTAAGTGAAATAAGTAGGAGAAAGACAAATATCCTATGATTTCACATATATGTGGAATGTAAAAAGGAAAAGAAGTGAACGAACAATGAAACAAACAGACTCATAGATACAGCAAACAAAATGGTGGTTGCCAGAGCAGAGAACAGTGGGGGATAAGTGAAAGAGGGGGAGGGAACTTAAGAGGTACAAACTTCCTGTTACATAATAAAGGAGTCATAGGGATGGAACATATAGCATGGGAAATATAGTCTATAATAACGTAATATCTTTGTATAATGACAGATGATAACTAGGCTTACCATGCTGCTCATTTTGTAGTGTATAGAAATATAAAATCACTATGTTGTGTACCTGGAACTAACAGAGTGTTGCAGGTCAATTATATTTCAAAAACAGAATCATAGAAAAAGAGGAATTTGTGGTTACCAAAAGCTGGGGGAGGGGTGGAAGGGGGGATTGGATGAAAGTGGTGAAAAGGTACAAACTCCCATTTATAAGATAAATAAATACTAGGGCTATAATGTACAACATGATTAATATAAGTAACACTGCTGTGTGTTATATATGAAAGTTGTTAAGAGAGTTAATCCTAAGAGTTCTCATCACAAGGAAAACCTTTCTTCTTTTATTTTGTATCCATATGAGATGATGGATGTTCACTGAACTCATTGTACTAATAATTTCATAATGCTGTACACCTTAAACTTATACAATGCTTTATGTCAATTATATCTCAATAAAAATGAAGAAAAAAGCACAAGAAAAAATATTTTAAAAAGTAAAAACGGTACATCTTCCAACCTAAATACCACCGTCTTGCATGGAGCAGGATAAGCTTTCATCAGGGGAAACAACAATGGTTCCACCTAATCAGAGCATGTGACATCTACTGGGCCACTTTAAGCTACTTATGAACTGAACCACCAGTTTAAAAAAGGAGCTACTCTCCTGGCTGATGTTACTGATCCAATTACCAAGGGGAGACAGGTTACTGCTACACAATGGTGGTGAGGAAGACTGTCTGAGATCCAAGGTAATCTCTAGCAGCCTCTTGATACCTGCATCCCCAACAGTAAAAGTGAATTGAAAACTACAGCAACCAACACACTACTATAATATATAAAATAAGTAACCAACAAGTACCTACTGTATAGCACAGGGAACTATACTCAATATTTTGTAATCACCTATAAGGGGAAATAATCTGAAAAAGAATATATGTATGTATAACTGAAACACTGTGCTGTACACCTGAAACTAACACAACATTGTAAATCAACTATACTTCAATAAAAATTTAAAAAAACAAATTCAAAAAAAAGAAAGAAAGAAAACTACAGCAACCAAAAAAAAGCAGTATGACTGAGGATTTTGACTTTTCATGGATGAAGGTTTGGGTCACTCCAGAACCAAGAGCAACTGAAGTTCTGGCGGAGGACATGGGAAATATGGAATGAGGAGATGAAAACAGAAACTATAGATACTAACTAAATATATATACATATACACATACACACACACCAACTATGACCTGGTGACCAATTACAGAAATGAGTACTACTATAGTAGCTTTAGCTAATGTCTCCAGGATTCTTACATGTATGTGTCAATATGTATAAAGTAATCCTTTTTTTAAAAAAACAACAAAAAAAAGAAGCAGTTTAAATCTCATAAAATCATGGTTGTTTTGTTGACATATCAAAGATTTCCAGGGAGTTAACTACAGCACCAACACAATGTGGTTTGTACATGGTAAGGGTTTGTCTCCTCTCTAAGGGGCCTCACACAAAAAAAAGCCAAAGCCAGTGCTCATTTTCAAGAGTGAGATCCCCATGCAGATCTCTGCACAGTAGAGGATGGGAGACTCAAGAAGAGCAGTTTCCTTTTCTGCCACTCCTGCTCTGCCTCATTATCCCTTGAAGGCAACCCCTGGCTATCTCTCAGGGCTCTTGCCAGCCCAAGCCTCTTATGATGGTCTTTTCAGTGCCATCAGAGAGGTAGAGCGAGAAAGGAGGAAAACAAAGAAGTGATTTTTCTCTTGATTTGACTTAAAGAATAGTGTAAGGAAACATGCATGAGGAGGTTTCTTTATTCTTTTCACTCTAACCAGGTTCTCTACTAAAAGCTGATGCTAACACTGGTCTTATTTTCAAGCTTTCAGTGTTTTTCTCTATTTTTCTCCGTCCAAAAATATCCTTCAAGAGCTGCCAAGTCCCAATGCCTTTATGATGAATTTTCTCCCAAGATTTTCTGGCAGTATTTCCTGTTTATAAGGGCAGGAATCAGAGCAGCCTGAGCCTTAATTTTAAACCTCAAGTGTTCTTCCAAAGATATAACAGCCATTTTTCTCTCCTTAATAATGCAAACCTATAAGATTTACATGTAAAGGACTATTTTTTTAAATTTTTATAATGGACAATTTTAGCAGATTTTATAATGGTGAATATGTCTCCACCCATTGCATTCCTAATAAAATAACAAGAAGAGTGTATAAAGGAAACTGGGGGAAAAAAGTGACCACTTGGCGATTATTATAGGTATCCAAAAAAAATACCACTGGACACAAGCTAAAAGCCCATCAACAAGAAACTAGACTATAAAATAGGGAATAGGCATACATTGGGAAACTACACAACCATTAAAAACAATAATGTGAGAATTTACATTTATCAACACAAAAAAGAAATGTAAAATTTGTTTATAAAAAATTATATGATCCCATTTCTCCAAAAAATATAAAGCATATTGTATATGCCATGTGTAAGTACATACATAGAAGTCCAGAAGAACATCAAAATGTTATTTTCTTCTTTATCCTTTTACCTATATATCAATGTATCTATATATTAAATGTATATTTACATATTTGAAGTTTTTACAATATATTGCTTTTATAATTTAAAAAATACCACAAAACGTGTTTCTTTTTATTAAAAAATATGGTGTATCTCTTACCATTTTGTTCTAACAGAGTCGACAATGCATTTGCAGATGCCTGGAAGACTTCTTTTGATGAAGAATGCATCAGCATCGAGAGCATCACTTCCCTGTGAGCTGGGAACCTTTCACAAATTCAACCACAATATGAATAGTAATCTCTTTAATAATTAGCTCAAATATTCACTTACTGTTATCTAATCTCTCTAACAACAAATAAGGGCAGATAAACAATATTTTATGCCACCTCTACTCACAGGAGTGAATTACAGTTAAACAGTTTTGAATTTAAAAGTTATATTCAAATCCATGAACTACTAATAAAGTAGTATTTCTGTTTCTTCAAAGTAGATAAGCAGTAGACGGACAAAGTAAAAGACTCAGCAGATATATAAAGAGGTGCTAAGGGTAAAAAGATTAAGTGAGAAAAAGAAGATGATGTAAGCAAGAAATGAAAAATTAAAAGTCATAATGAAGCAAAGTGAAATTTTTAATGTAGAGCATAAATATGTTTTAATGATGTATTTATTTTAATGATCTCCTATGGATTTTGAGGAATTAGTGTCTATGAACTGAAATTTATAAACTGCAACATGAACCAACCTTATCCTAATTTCTTTAAAAGATTGCTCAAAGCAGATTAGAAGGCTGGTTTAACATATAGTTTTCAAAATTTACTGTTTCCATTCAAAAGAGATGTTTAAATAAATAGCATCTGTGTCATTAATTCCCTTCTGATTGGCAGTAGAACACTCTGCTGACAGGCTGTCAGGATTTGAGATGCAGAATATTACTATTTAAATTTCCAAGGTAAGTCATTCAAAATTTAAAATCCAGAGGATATGCCAACAGTAAAAATCTAAGCAGTTGCTCATGGACATGAAACAAATCTGATATACTCAGAACTCGTGTATCTGTGGGAGAGATGACTGGTCTTATGAGGTTTAAATGGTGCTCCCATAGAAAGCATCCTCAAGAGCTGACAGCTACAAATAACCCTCTCAAGAGAAAAGAGTTCAACACTGCTACACCAAGTGGGGAATCACTATAGGAGGCTTCTAAGCACATCTAATTCCTGATATTGACAACCTGCTGGCTAGTAACCACAACAGAAAAGGTCACAGATTCCTCTCCGATTTCTATCACTTGAGATTAATTAATATGGCATTTTAAATGATTAGCCAGAAAATTGAAAGGTTCTTTCTTGATGATTCATAATTTACTGAATGACTCTTGATTCTAAATCTCTCAGTAATAACTCTCAAACAAACCACCTTTTACTAACTGTCCAAGACAATGAGATCAAAATATATATCCACAAGTATTTTGTGGCAACACTTAAAACATAAATGCCTACATCAAAAATATTTCAAACAATAAAAATTTCAGTTATGGTATTTCATGTGGATTGATTAAAACTATGACTGAAATTTTCTATCATATAGAGTCAAAACTACTGACTGGCCATCTTCATCTCCAATCTTCTCATGTAAACTGTTTTGGTACATAAGGAGATTATTCAGGGCCCAACATGCAGCCTCCTGGATTAGGGAAGGAAAAAGAGAAAACTGTCAAAAAATAAATTATTGAACAAACAATTTTGAAAGACTATAAAATTTATGAAAGCGTCTAACCTGCACATGCTTGTTCTTTCTATGCCACGTTAATGCTTTGTAGCAGGCTTCCAGCCAAAACAATTTATCTTCTTCTTCATCATCATTCTCCTGATTCTCATTCTTTTCCTCTAAGTCTTGATTTAAGAAAATGGTCTCAGCTTGGAAAAAATGTAAACATGTAACTTACTTACAGTTTGAATGACCAACTCTAAGTCTGTATATTGAAACATTATCAACAGAGTGAGGTATTCTTTAGTAGTGGCCCTGGTTAATTAAAAGACCTTTTTAATATATTACACACTTCATCATACTGCTATCCCATCTAGATAAATTACCAGATGAGCAAGAGGGTACCAAACAAAACTAATAGGCTAGAGGAAGATTAATTAAGGAAGTTAACTGCTAATAATAAAGCTAAATCAAGGATGTATTTACTGATATCTGAACTGGGAAGGATGTACTTACCACAACAGTTAGTTCCCTTTAAAGTATCGTCTATTGGACAATGAGTTACATTAAGACAGAAAAGGCATTTAAGGGTTCCTTCTCCACATATGACTTTCTTGTTATAATGTTAATATTCAAGATCAAATGCACCTGTAAGAATTTCCTTGTTAGTTAAGTTACTTACTGAGGAGAGCTAAACAGCTGAGTGCTGCGATCTGTAATGCTGCATTCTCTGAATACTGCTGCACAGCTTTCACCACAAACTCATGTACCTCGTTTAATACCAGGATATTAAAAAAATTACCTGAAAGTTAAGTGAGATATTAGTGGAAATTCTTATCCATGGAACTTAAATTACCTTTCATCACATAACAGTATTTAAATCAACAAATTTGAGTAGTGATGACTATTCTTAATGACATTAAAACATATATTTACTTTAATTAAAATAGCTTAAGAGGATTGCATAAAGTATTGAAAATTTATTTTATGCACTCATTCAATTATCTTGCTTAGACAACGGAACTGACTGGGCAAAAAAAAAATTAAATGTTTGAGTTATATTAACTTGTGTTCATTGACTCCCTCTCATGTCATCATCATATTAAAACAATGAGGTATCTGTTATTCATGACACTACAATATTGAGTGTACAAAATAGCTTAATTTTCCTGCCTTCTAAAAGATGGGGGAAAAAACCTTCCTTGTCATTAAATGCTTTTGCTGAAACAGCCTTCTTTCACTTAAAGACTAGTGCTCAGAAAACCCATTGGCACACTTATCATTACCTGATCTTGTCTATGATAATCTTAGAAGAAAAATATGAGAATAATTTTACTACCTCTAACCCAACCCAGGAAGACATCCCTTACATTTTTATACTCATTCTTCTCATAATCATATAGAAATCTAAATCCTTATAAGGAAAACACTTGTAAATGACAGTCCAAAAATATGTGCCTCCTTCCACTTAGCTTCTCTGTAACTCATTAACAGTCACCAAGTTTCGTTCTAGGAGTAAGAATGAAACTCCTAGTTAGCTATATGTGTAATTAGATGATCCCTGAGACACACAGCCAGAAAAGATTCTATACCATGAAAAGCCTAAAGCCCACACTAAATATTAATCAAGGCTTCAAAATCAAAAGGCAGATTAACTAGGGGTAGCTCTTCTTTATCAACATCTTTTTATGCTCATGCCTCTTCCACATTCACCCATTAAGCTGACATACTCCCCAGCCCTTAGTGGTCTCTCATCTTGGAGGGTCATTTCAAAAAGGGTTCTTTCCTACTTTTACCAGCTTATCTAAACTTGGGCTGTCTCACCTCCTTTTCCCTAGTATTATTCCCATGCCACTGCCAACAGCTGCCCTACCACTGAAAACTGTATGACTCTGAGCAAACATCAGTGAAACTGGCCTTATCTTATTTTCATTTATATTTAATTTATGTGAAAACATATAGTAAATTATATAAGGCCTTTAAATGCATTAACCCCATAACTGAATTTCATAATTTGACAAAATGCTTAGTATTTATTTACTGACTTTGGGTTTTTATTTTAATTATGAGGAAGAAGTAAAAAGTTTTATTCAGCTTCTTTGAAACAGTAACAGGGACAATAAATTCTCTAGTCACTAAGAAAGCACCTTTAACTAAAGATCAATTTGAGGAAATTTGCTGCTGGTCCAGTGGTTAAGACTCTGCACTGTCACTGCCAAGGGCCTGGGTTTAATCCCTGGTCAGGGAACTAAGATCCCACAAGCCTTGAGGTGTGGCCAAAAAAAAGATCAATTTGATGACTTTTTACTTTCAAAAATGTCACAGAACAATATGAAACTTATAAGTGATATAATAGTTTATATGGTTTATTTAATTTCAACAGTATAATGTCAACCACCCTCAATGTGCTATTGTAGACCTATTTGAAAATCAAGTACCATTTCCGTATCATGACAATAAAACCACTTTTTCATCTGGCTCATTTAAGGGATTAAGGTAAACTCACATTCTTAGTATGTCATGCAAGTTTTAACTTGAGTGGTAAATCGTAGAACATGAAATAGAGAATTCTATATTAGTGTGCTATTCAATTAGCTAGATTTAAGAAATCAACTTTTGAATTACTTTACAACTTTCCCAGATATCAGCTAGCTTGTACAACTGTGTGCTTCTTCATGAAAATATGAGTAAAATTCTCACCTGATAAAAGAAATAAACTAGTAAATGGCTACAACATTTTAGAAGAAATGCTTTGTTTTGCTTATGAATGCAGAAATTCTGTATTTTACCACTTACTGACTACATGATCTTGGATAAGACACACAGACTTGCTAAAATAGGTCCTCATCTGTAAATACAGAGATAATAAAAATATCACATCTCCCAGGATTGTTTCAAGGATCAAAAAATTATATATTGCATATGAAACTACTTTAGAAAATATGAAAGAAATGTGCAAATAAGACATTATTTTCATATCTCCACAGTTTTGGTCATATGATAAGCATTCAATAAATGTTTATCAAGGAAAGAAACAAACTGAAGTTGTGCATGCAAATTAGAATTCAATTTATAAAAATTCCATTTTAACTGAAACTACCTAGGAATATTCCTAAGGCTAAAATCAATTGCAGAATTATACAAATTCTGAATACAGGGGATATAGCCATATTTATGTAAGTAAAAATATAAGTTGCTACAATAAAAACATAAAAATGAGTTTTTTTCAAATGAATGATGATGTTTTTTCCCAAAGTTATAGTGATGAAAAGTCAAATGTCTATTATAATAATCCTGATTTTTCACAAAACATTTCTGGTGATCCTTTTTAGAAAAGGTTGTCGGAACCAATTTCCAACAGTTAGGGATCCTGCCTTACTATTCACCAACCATTTACTTTTTAATGCGTTGTTCTCCTCACAAAAACATCAAGGAAATCTCCAAGGTGTGTATTGAGGGAGTTGGGGAAGGCTCAACAAGGAGCTGAAACAAGAACTGTGAGCTGAAAGCAAATGGTCAAGCCAGAGTAGCCATGTGGGAAAGTATGAGTCACTGTGATCAACTAGCCTTGATCAGACTAGCCTTGTACTCTCTCCAAAGGAGGGTAGCTCAATCAGAGTCTCCCACTTCAAGTTTGAATCTTAAAAAGATTCTAAAGTGGTCCCAGGTCAGTCCTGTGCCCTAGCTCCTGGCAAACATCTCTGGATGAGATTTTTAGGTCCTCAGGATTCTCAGAGATTAAACTCAATCAAAGAAAAACTCACAAACATACAGGAAAACAAGACTCCATGACAGACAGGCAGTCAGCACAGGAGCAGTAGGTTTAAACTCTCAAGAACTTCATATATTGGAATTATCAGATACAAAACACAAGATAGCTATGTATTAATGATTAAAGAAATAAAATTAGAATAAAAGAAAAGAGAAAGGGGAAGGGAAGAGTGAATAAGAGTCAGTCAAAAGTTACCCGGCAGATCCGAAAATAAATATATAAATTTTTTATATTTTTTATATTTTAGATTTTTTTATAAATATATAAAAAATCTAATTAAATGACCAAGTTGAATTTATCACAGGAGTACAAAGTGGCTTACTATTAGAAAACCTATATATGCAATTCTAATTCTCCATATTATCAAGATAAGAGGAAAACAAATGATCTTAAAATTTTTTTTAATATTTGATAAAATTCAATATTCATAATTCTTTTTAAAAAGCCCACATATTAAAATAAAAGCAAACAAGAAACAGAAGGAAACTTCTTAACTTGATAAAAGCTACTTGTCACAAAACAAACAAGATTGGGGCTTCCCTGGTGGCGCAATGGTTGACAGTCCGCCTGCTGATACAGGGGACATGGGTTCGTGGCCTGGTCCGGGAAGATATCACATGCCGCAGAGCGGCTGGGCCCGTGAGCCATGGCCGCTGAGCCTGCACGTCCAGAGCCTGTGCTCCGCAACGGGAGAGGCCACAACAGTGAGAGGCCCATGTACTGCAAAAAAATTATAATAATAAAAAAAAACAAGATTAACAATAACAACAACAAAAACCCATATAATAAGCATTATTCTGGATGGGAGAATATAAAGCATTCCCTTTAAAATAAAGAAAAAGACAAGGATGCCTACTATCACGGCTTCTAGTCAATACTGTACTAGTAATTGTGGGCCATGCAAGAAGACAGGGAAATCAAATTAAATAACTGCTATACAGAAAACCTAACAGCATTTATAAATAAATTTTTAGAATTAATAAGAGTTTAGATAAGATTAATATGCAAAAAATCATTTGCATTTCTTTACACATACACAGTTCAAAAATATAATTTTTAAAAAGACACCGTTTATAATAACAAAAATAGGGTACCTAGAAATAACTAATAAGATGTGCAAGCCTTGTATGGAAAAAATTATAATGTAAAGTTGTCAGTTCTTAAATTGATCCATATATTCTGTATGATTTTAATCAAAATCCAAATAGAGTTTTCCAAGGAACTGGACAAGTTAATTCTAAAATGTACATGGCATTGTAAAGGTCCATGAAAAAAGCCAAGCTGTAACCAAAGAAGAAGAATATATAATGACTTTACCTATTAGCTTTTGAGATATCAGGACTTACAGAGCTATAATAATTAAAACAGTTTGATATGGAGCCAGGCAAATCAAATCAACAAACACAACAGAACAGCAAAAACAGAAATATACATATATTACATGTTATAAACCTATAAATAATACATACATATTATATACATATATTCAATATATGATACTACTGGGAAATGGATGAACCATATAATAAATTGTGCTCTCCATATTATAAATGGGGGGGGTTAATTGAATTCCTACTGTATAAAATAATTCCAAACAGATTTTAACACTTTAATGCTTAAATTAGAAAGATTTTGGATAAAATGTAGAATACATTTATTATCTTAGGCAAAGGAAGGATTTCTTAAAATACATTAAAAAGGTTAAATCACAAAGCAACTAATCATGAAATTAAACTATACCACAAAAGCCACATAAAGAAGATAAAAAGACAGCTCACCAATCAATACAAAATATTTTCAATACATATAACTGACCGCCAAAATATTATTAGCCAGAACTAAGAATCAATTTTTAAGAAGACAGACTATACCATGGAAAAAAGATAAAGGCAAATCAGGTACTCCACCAAAAGAGGAAGCACCAATAGCAAAGAAATATTTGAAAAGATATTCATCTTCCTTTACACTTTCATAGCAAGAAAGATGGTAGTAGCATAAAACAAGACATAAACCAATGTCCGTGGATAGGAAAATGGATAAATAAATTGTGGTATACTCACATCATAGAATACTACATACAACTATATGCAAAAATATTCATGAATCTTATAAACAAAATAGTTTCTAAAAACTTGCAGAAGACAACATTCAGCATGATGCCATTTTTATCAAGCAAAAACAAGCAAACGTTAACAATTTTGTTTACAGAGGTAAATGAATGTAATAAAATTTAATTTAGAAAGCAAAAGGTTTATTAACACAAAACTCTGGAGAGTGTTAACCTCTGTAGAGAAAGTGGAAGGGCAGAGCCCAGAGTAGCTTTACCGGCACTGGTAATGTACTAATACTTAAGTTGGGTGAGGAGTTCTTTTGCACTGTGCTTCATATTTTCTATATGTTATGCTTATTCTTTTGTATGTATCAACTATTTACATAATAATACTTTAAATATAGCATAACAGTGATAAGACTTCTCATATTGCACACTTTTATTTTTGCCACTCCTATTAAAATTCCACCTAAGAATGGCAGAACAGTTTGCTAATTTACAATATTTTCATCCAGTGTATGTCAATATGTTACTTTTCCATAAACAGCATATGTATGGTATATACACTTACATCATATAGACTGTGATAAATTAACCAAGAATTATAACTTACCTAATGTAAGCCTATGGAGCAGGCAGCAACTCACTTCTTGAATTTTTTCACTGATAGGGAATGCTATCATGGCTTCTACCACAATATTATAACACCTGACATTGCCACTCATGAGGACTTCAACATTACTGCCTAAATTTAAAGAAATCATAATTTTCAATAAGGTAATAATTTTCCCTTTGAAATATACATACAAAGACACCTTACAGAGATTTTAAATATATGGCAGTATAATTGCTACATTTCCAAATTTAAATATCATGTTCTGTCAAATAGCTATAAAAATACTGTTGTTCGATGTTAATATAATACGATTTAGGACTCATCTCTAGCATTAAGGGAAAGTTGCTTTATTCCTGTATTTTTGGCTTAAAAACTTAAAGAAAATAAAGGGAAAACTGAGAGTGCTTTTTATATAAGTCAAAATACGTAAAGTTTTGGCTGTAAGTTTTCAAATAAATGGATTTGGGGCCTGTTTCCGAATGAGGCACTATTCCATTGGATAACGAATTTTAATTGCTCCTTTTCCTCAAACCAACAGAAAGAAAATCAAGATTATATCACATAATAGAAGAGGTAGAATCAGCTATCATCTATTTCCTGTCCATTCCAGAAGGGCAGCAGAAGAGCAGCCAGTGTAAAAGGCAGCAAAACCGAGCTTCCTGAAGGCTCTGAGATAGACAGGGAAAAGAATGGATGAAGGCAAGAGGAGAGACATAATATTAAAATGTATAACTAAGGGATAAACATAGGTGAACCACAAAGGAAGGAAAGAATCCACTGGGAAAGGCAATTAATCAATAGAGTATGTGAACCTATGTGGAGAAAACTAATTTATATGTCTGAATGAAATGTTGACTATTCTTAAAACAGAAAAAAGGTGTTTGCAAAACATTTTTCTTTCTTTTTTGGCAAAATCAAACTAACCGTTTTCCAAAAACTACATTTTTAATGTTTAAGTTGTATTTAAAAAACACTAAATATGGAAAAAGAAGGAAATGGCCTCAACGCAATTACCTCCTTTTATTCAGAATCAAAGATACAACTTGCTCTAGATTCAAGGTAAAGTTTAAGACACTTGCTTTTTTTTTAATTTTTAGTTGCTGCTTTCTTTGACCTTTTCTTTATGAATCAGCACATTTACACTGGAGTTATGGTGATGTGGGTGGAAAAGAATGAATTTCAAAACAACCAGCACAAAATAAATAAATAAATGTATAGCCAAGGAAAGGTAAAATGAAGAATATATTCAGTTTGTTGGCAGTAGATGACTCAGAGAAGTTTAAATTCCATTTCCTATTATTGTTCTGCCCCATCTACTTCTAAGAGTTTAACTTTCCATGGATAAGAAAATGATGGATTTTATAACCATTATTAAGAACAGGCATTCTTTCACAAGGCGATTAGTCTCACATCTGTGAGATTTCTATGCCTGAAACCATATATGCATATTATATATAATAAGCTACATATGTATGAAATACAAAGCATGTAGTAATACTGTCAGTGTCTTAACCACACTTACTACATTACATTACCAGGTACTATTCTACATTTTTCACATTATTTAACTGATTTAATCCTCACAACTTCACATCTGTGAAGATGAAATTATTACCAGATAAATGCATGTGTAAATCCTGTACAAGCCCAAACAGGTAATACATGAAATACAAAATGCGCATGTGCACTTACAAAAGTAATAGAAATCTGATGTATTATTTTAATCCATTAGTATTCACTGGTAGCATACACAGCAAATTAATTTCTTCTTATTTGTACTTTTTTTGTTATAAAAGTGGCTAGATTTCATAGCATCACCCAAATGCTAAACAAGAATTACAATGAAGTTCCAATTCCTTCCTGTGGCTTTTCAGGCCCTAGGATCTGGTTATGTCTCCAGCCTCATCCATTGACTCTCATCAAGCCCTTCCCCTACCTCCATGAAATGGCACAGGAGCAGATGCTCAGGGCTCTGCATGTGTATTACACACACACGTGCATGCACACACTTATAAATACAGTTTACTGAGCTACTTTCATCCTCTTGATTCCTCTATGCTCTCTTTTGCTCCAGGATCTTTACGCTTAGGATGCCCACTGCCTGGGATACTGCCTGCACTTCTACTTCACCTCACACCTCTCCGCACACAAAGCTCTCCTCATCATTCAAGACTCTGCTGAGAGATCTTGCCCCACTCCCTGTTTGTTCTCAAAACCCTAGGTACTTCTGCCAACACTAGCCCTATGATACTTCACAATCACTTCCATGCTTATCTGTATCTTGTGGGGTACTATGGGGTCAGAAAACGAAAGAAACATGTTTATATTTTCTGCTACTGTTTCTCCAGCGCCAAGCCCAGAGCCAGTAGCAGTACAGCATCAATAAATAAAAATTTATTAAATGAATGAGTTTAGCATCTACAAGTTTCTAAATAATAAAAATATTTTTGAAACACACTCAGAAAGAAGATATATTGTAATTTTTCAGATTCAAAAATGAAACCATGTATGCAGACTACTTACAAGGAATTGCTAGGGAATATAAACAGTGCAGTACATGAAACACAATTTCCTCTTCATCTTTAAAATTTTTTAATGTACTTAGCAATATCATATAATCTTTATTCTCGACAAATTCAGTCAGTTGCTCCTCTGAAACTAAAAATTGAAAGACAAAATACCAAAAGAGCTCAAACATGATATAAAAGTTTAATTACTCAAAAATATAATATTCATGATGATTAGATAAGACAGTAGATACAACAAACATAAATTAAAAATTATATTTTAGCAAAGAGCACTTCCTAGGAATTTTATAATTGAAAAAATAGCTATTGAGGTTAAAATAATTGTTTTGACCCATATTCGTTATTCCATGTTTTGAAATGTAGTGACCATGTAGTGACCAAACAGTTCTCAGAAAAATAAAATTATTTACAATTTCATTTGAAAGATTCTAGAGAAAACTAATCAATGAATAATAAAGATGGCCTACTGAAGTGAACATATCACAATACTTAAAAAGGAGTGGTTGGGCTTCCCTGGTGGCGCAGTGGTTGAGAGGCCGCCTACCGATGCAGGGGACACGGGTTCGTGCCCCGGTCCGGGAAGATCCCACATGTCGCGGAGCAGCTGGGCCCGTGAGCCATGGCCACTGAGCCTGTGCATCAGGAGCCTGTGCTCCGCAATGGGAGAGGCCACAGCAGTGAGAGGCCCGCGTATCACAAAAAAAAAAAAAAAAAAAAAAGAGTGGTTAATGGTACATTGTTGAAGGGCAGCTCAGCTAAGTGCATGAGTTCAAGAGGAATGAACTTTAGCAAATAACAAGTAATTAGACTTTGAAATACTTTATCTTAATGGTCTGACTTCATCAGAGATCAAAAATTGTCATCATTAATTTTCATAATTAAAGTCTTGGGATCAAGCCAATGAGTTTCATTTGGAGTCATTTTATTGGGTGTGAACCTCAAAAACATGTATAAAAATCTGGTTTATCTAGCCTGAGAAGGACACTGACATAAATGTTAGTGTCACTCTTCATAATCAACATTACTTTTTGCTGTTCAACTTTACACCAACAGTCCATATAATATAATGTGAATTTGACTGGGTTCTTCTAATAAATGAGAAGTATCACCAAACCTTCTCATTTTATGAAACAGTTTCCAGAGCATAGTTTCAAATTTTGAAAATTAACTTTACACGTGCCACTAAGGCCTGGGGAACTTCATATTCTTGAGAACTTCAGAAATGTTTCTACTCTACATATACAATCACAATACTGTCAGCGCTGATCTATCAAATAAGATCGTCTTTTTAACATTCCCTGGTACTTCTCCATATGTCCTAGATGGATCCCACAATGCTGGTGAGTGATGCTAACCCTTCTTTCATGAATAAGAATGTGTCCCTTAAACTGCAGCACAGAAGATTATAAGCCCTCAAGACAGTAATTCCTCAAACTCTATTCTGCCCAATTCTTATCAAAAGCTTAGTTTCAAGATATGACATTTAGAGAAGACAGCCTGAAAGACATGCAGTTCCTCCATTCCTCTCTTCCACCACCAGAGAGCTGAGCCCCATGCCCATGCTGTTCTGACTCTAGATAGAATCTCTTTCACTGAAATACTTTGTGTTCCTTGCAAACTGTATGTATTTTATCAACTTATCCAAGGAAACCCAAGGGAGTATTTTCTCAAGTCTCCCATGAGACTGATTTTTTTCTTCTGATTAATGAGTTTACTTTTATCTCAAGTAACTTTGTAACCGATGATGTTTACCTCTTTGCCTGATAGGAAGCAAAGAACCAAATTTCTGGTCTATCCCTTTGCAAAGATACAGGATCTGAAGTAAGCAGTAAATTTAACCTAGCTGCATATCATTTTCCCTTCACCCATTTCCTCATTCATTTTTCTTTTCCTCTAATGTATTATAAATATCTATAAGCTATTTGAAGTCCTTCTGGAATAAGACAGGGAATTAAACAGTAGAATTTCCATTCCTGGAGCTTCCAGAAACTAGAGTAGGTAAACTGATATGAACACAGGGCCCACATACATTATTCTTATCCTAAACTCCTAGCACTGTTGGCTCTCACAATGACACAAAAGGTGCTCTCAAAAACTGTGGTAAATTGAACTGTAATGGAGATAACTAGCTGTGTACTCTCAGGCAGATTGCTCATTTCACTTCTCTGATCCATTTCCTCATCAAGCCAGTGGAAGGACTAAAGGTTCCAACCAACTATAAAATTACATGGTTATCTCTGTCATCATCTCAGTGCCATGTGATAAAATACAAATTAGTCTTTTTCCTAAGGGACACTTTGTAAACCCTTTATCCAGAGCCTTTAGCAATTTCTAAAACCTCTGGTGACGACTTAACATCATAAACGCAAACTTAACCTTGGCTTCACAGTATTACTTTTTCTTCCTTAACTCCTACACATACAGTTTGCAAAGTGAACCTATGCCTTGTTAAGCAATGGAAGAAAGTTTACTACAATTGCATGACTGATAATCCATGAATGAAATTCATTCTGCAAAAACAAGCAATATTTCTGAATTAACCCCATTACTTATCCTTGACTGACAATCCAACTTTTAATGAACAGTACAATTTCAGATATTTTCTTATTATCATAATTATATCCTACTTATCCCACTATAAACCATTTCTTCTTATATAAATATCAAAATAAAGAATTTGACATTTTAAATACCTCTCTCAAACAGCACATGTAAAGCTTTGCATCCAAGTTTCTGGACTTCGTCATTGGCTGAAAATGTGCGCATGGCATCAAAAATTAACAAGAAAATATCATTTTCTTCATCCAATATCAGCAAAGTGATTTTACCTATTTCAAAGAGAACAATATGCTCCAAGTAAATAGCTGCTTTAACATTTAATATCTTCATTTTTACATGAGGGCTATGAATGGTTTGTGGACTTCTCTTTTTGATGAACCACTTAATTGCCCCAGATGTTAGACCTATCAAGCTTTACAGTCTTTCTAAATGAGATAAACTCCCAGTACACTTTACTATAACTCTGTGATTCCCAATCAATACCCATAGCCAAGACCTCTTGCCCCGAATTCCTGAAACATTTCTACTTGCCTCTTAGACAACACCATCTGAATACTCCATGGCCACCCAAACCTAGCCTACTCCAGTTCCATCTCTTCATCAATAACCACCATCCAATAGTTACCAGAGAAACTACAGTCATCTTCCTTCTTTCATCCTCCCTCTCTCTTCTCATTCTCTGACTAGCCAAAGAATCAACTCATTACCAAGTCCTTCAAGTCTAACTTCTAAATATCTCAAAAACTCCTTTTGAACTAGGCCTCTCCATTTCTGTCTTGTTCAGGACCCCAACACTTCTCACCTAGAATTCAAACACAATTGCATAATTGCTCTGGTAGGCCCAAATCCCTATCTAACTAGTTTACCTGCTGCATTATATTTCTAAAACACAAATGTGATCTGTAAATCCCTTGCTGAAGTCTTCTAAGGCCTTCTCACACTCCTCAGTCTGACAAACAAGACTTTTCACAGACTACATGTGTCTCATCAGCCTCACATCCCTCCCTGCACTACTGATTCCAAACATGCTAAACTCCTTGCTCATCATGAACACATTTCTTTTGACATCTTTTTGCACTTGCACTAGCTGCATGGAATGCCCTTGCCATTTTCTGCACCAAATATGATCCTAACTTAAATCAAGAAATAACACAAACAGTACCTATTCTGTCAATAAAAACTGTAGGAGTGGTAGTCGTAGCAAACACTTCTACAGCACATAACATGTCAGACATAGGATGAAGTATTGATAGTTCACTCTAACACGTGTAAACCACCACAACCCCGTGAAGTAGGTGCAATCCTCATGTTAGATAGAGATAAGGAAACTGAGGCACAGAAGTGATGCAGTGACTTTGCCCAAAGTAGAACAAATAAGAGGCAGAGCTGGATTAAAATTAAAGCAGGTCATGACCATGCTCTTAACTCCTACAAATGAGCTTAGCTGCTCTCTTCTCTTTGCTCCTATGGTGGTTTTCTTCACATCTCTGTTAGAGTACTTTCCTCATTACATTGAAATCATTTCTTTAAATGCTTTATATCTGTCAGTGCTGTCCAATTCTGTAGACACCAATCACATGAGGCTACTTAAACTCAAATTTAAATCAATTAAAATTAAATTAAAATTAAAATTCAGTTTCTCACATTTCCAATGTTCAACCACCACATGTGGCTACTCGCCATGATTTTGAACATATACAACATTTCCTTCATTGCAAAAAGTTATATTGGACAGTGGTGCTGGACTGTGAACTTCTACATTGTAGGAACTTTGCCTCACCTGTCTGAGAGTTCTCTAGCAGCCAGCACAGAAGTAAGTGCCCAATAACTATTACCTCAGTTAACAAATAAGCCAAACAAAAAAATGATTCATAAATTAGCCTCTAATAAGTACCTGAAATAAACTCTAAAACACATTACAAACTTTCCTAAAAGCTCAAAATTCTTAATGTTACGTGGAAGAAATTAACTAGTCTTTGTAAAACACATGTCAAATTTACTGTCTACATGCTGCTAACCTTGATATATCCATTTTGGGAGATTTCTCAAATTCATAAACCTCCTGTCCATTGCCAAATGGAGAATAAATCTTTACCTCCCCCCCCACACCAAAAAGAAAAATTCCCAAGGATGAGTTTAAATAAATCATGGTTAAGACTAGTTAGTACATCCCATTATATATTTTAATAAAAGGCTCTGGTGAAGTGGTGAAAACCTTCTGGCCTTTCCTATCCCTCTTCAGTTCATTCTCTGATCTTCACCCTCTTTCTTCCTTTCTCTTTCTCCTATTGGACCTTTGTCACTTAGCATGGCCAATGAGGGCCTTTAAAAATCTTACCACCCACACATCCAGCCCCTCCCAGGCCTCTGCAATGCTGCACATGCTGTTTTCTTGACTTAAAGCACCCTTCACACTTTGAAGGAAATCCACCCTATTCTTTATGCTTAGCTTCCCTGAAAGGAGCCTTTCTTCTCAGAACCTTACATCATAGCAAGTGTCTGTCACAGCAATGATCACAACTATTGCACCACAGCAACATTCTTTGTTTTCAGGTCCATTATCCTCCAAGTATAAGTTTACTCAGGGAAAGAACCTGACATGGTTCTACTACTTTTTGGCTGAGGCAATCTCTCTATGCTTCAGTGTTCTCTAGAAAACTGAGATAAAATAATAAACTCAAGGGATGTTTTGAGGATTATGCTTTGAAAAGCATATTAAGTATTTTACACGTTAAGCCTAGCATTTAGCAAGCACTCAAGAAGAAATGCTATATATTTTTATTATGACATATTACTATTATGTCATACTCTAGAGCATATATTATAGAAAACATATTAGAGATATAATGAAGTACAATATAGTCATGAAAAGGACATGTATGGCTAACAAACTAATGAGAATGTGAGATGTGGGACCAGATCTGAGGAGCAAAGCTGGGGACAGACATTAGATTTGGGAGTAATATATAAAGTGATGTTTAAGGCCAAGATGTTGGGTGGTATTTTTGAGAGAAAAAGTGTAGAGAAAAGAGATAAGGAAAGAAAATGGAGGGGCTTTCCTGGTGGCACAATGGTTAAGAATCTGCCTGCCAATCTGCCAGTAGGGGACACGGGTTTGGGCTGTGGTCCAGGAAGATCCCACATGTCACAGAGCAACAAAGCTCATGAGCCGCAACTACTGAGCCTGTGCTCTAGAGCCCGCGAGCCACAACTACTGAGCCCACATGCCACAACTACTGAAGCCCACGCGCCTAGAGCCCATGCTCCACAATAAAGAGAAGCCACCCAGTGAGAAGCCCGCACATACAATGAAAAGTAGCCCCTGCTCCCCGCAACTAGAGAAAGCCCGCGCGCAGCAACAAAGACCCAATGCAGCCAAAAATAAATAAATAAATTTATTTTAAAAAAATGGAAAATGGAAACACAGAATTTTGGAAATCATCAATATTGAGGTTATATTATGTGATTATACTTTAAAAAAATAACATCAAAACACATTTAGCAAATGGTTTAAAATGTTTTTTTGAGTCAACATTAAAAATGTGTGTATACACTACCTGAAGTTAGGAGAAGATCTAAGGCCTTCAATCCAACTGTTGACAGGTTGACACTGGCATTATGAACTGCTAGCATTTTAAGAATCAGTCTGTAATTAAAAACAAAAATCAAGATCATACCTAGATGTTTGCTCTTTTAGATATTGTTTTTTACTCACCTACATTTTTATTCATCTCATTGTGTTTCATTCCCTATATTGAAGCTAGTGTATTTTTTCCCTGTAAACCTGAGCCAGGTTTATGATGACTAACAGGGAATTATTATGAGTCTCAATAGAAAAGTTATAACTTTTTCCTCTAAATATTCAAATTCAACTATTAACTATTTCACCCAATTCTATATCCAAAATCATATTGAGTTATATGCACCAAGGGATCAATCATTTTATATGTGATACAAACTTGTAAATTATATGTTATATACATTGATATTATTATAGAGATGTAGTTAAAATGTTAGCTTGTATATAAAAATTAAGGACCATTTGAATATTTAAATTATTGATTTTTACTATTTTTGAAAAAGAAATTGATATTTTATAACAGAAAGTGAACCTAGTCTATCAATAGTATTCAATTAGTTCAAATGCGTTAAATTTGAGCCCCTGAGTTATCAATTCTAAAATATACAATCTTTAGTCTATTCCTACCCCAGTGCTGTTTGGCTTTCTATTGTTAGAAGAAGAGAGAGCCTCCATGGCTTCACCTAGATCCAAGAAACTTGGCACATGGTCTCCAGGTGGTGAGGTGAGGAACTGAGAGACCCTGTCCTTCGACTCTGACAATTCTCCTCCTACCTATGCTGCCCCTACCTCTCCCTGCACCACTCCCACTATTCCTGACTTCAACACCACACAAGAGATTTCTCCTTTAGTACTGTAAGCCTTTGGGGGCATAAAAGTCCTTGAATATAAGGAGATACCTTTTACAATAAATATTTGCTGGTAATGATCTAATATGCTCCACTGTAGAGAGAGTGTGTCTACACTGTTCACACTACTTCTGGCTTAAAGGAGTGTAATACCTGATGAACAGAAGACGAATGAATGATGAGTGAGTGACCAAATAAATGAGTGAATGAAACTCCCTGTAGAAACGTTTATGTAAGTTAATTTGAACATTTGGTTTATACCAGAATATGACTAGATGAGTTTTCCATTGCTCCCTAAAGTTATAGATGGCTAATCTTTGGGGATCTTGGAAATTCTCATCCAAACGAAGGGACACATAACATTACAACTACTAATTGCAGGCATATTTTGTCTAATTCCTCATTAAATGCAGTATTCTTCACTACTGACTCATAGAATTTCAGAGATTAGTTTGGTGTTCAGAGAACACCTATTAACTGTAATTAGTCTCTTTTCAGAGCACAGTCTTTAGATGCTAGAAACCGAAGAACAGCAACACATGTTTATCAAAGATGGAAAAATGTATAAGCACGGACATGCTCGCCTATGAACAAACAGCTCTGATTTGTCAAAATCTGCAGCCACAGTTAATACTAATAAATAATGCAAAGATGTAAAATTTAGTTTTGCATTAATTACGTTTTCCACAAGCAATATGCCTTTGGAAGCAATTAGTATTCACTTCTCTGTGGTAAAGAAGAGTCACATTAGGTATAAAGAACACCTAAAGTTGATGACAGAAGATATTTTCTTAAATGTCAAGAAACAAAGTTATCCAAAAAGGATTTTCCTGGAAACATTTTTTTTTTCAGAAAAGTTTTTCTTAACTAATTATGGCTAAAGAAGTAGTCTCATTTAAGAAGTCATTATGTTGCAAACTGCAATAATATAGCTAGTAAATAGCTACCAAGATTTGGCTGCAGATGTGCTGAAAGATAATTTCCTCTTTTTTCTTCATTTTGAAAGCTGTAGTTTAAGCTCATTAAATATATATGTATGAATATACATAAATGTACTTTTTAAAGACAGTAAAGCATAAACTTCTAAATTACTATTTATAGAACATTTTAGTTCCCATATTTTTATTTTGAAGAAGTAGTGGTTTGTGTCAGTTCTACTATTAAAAAGTAAAAAAAGAGGGGCTTCCCTGGTGGCGCAGTGGTTGAGAGTCCGCCTGCTGATGCAGGGGACACGGGTTCGTGCCCCGGTCCGGGAAGATCCCACATGCTGTGGAGCGGCTGGGCCCGTGAGCCATAGCCTTTGAGCCTGAGCATCCGGAGCCTGTGCTCCGCAATGGGAGAGGCCACAACAGTGAGAGGCCCACGTACCGCAAAAAAAAAAAAAATCTTTCCTTGGTTTGAATTCATAAACAGTCATCAACAATCTACAACCTTATCAATTGTATAACTATTATTATATTACTAAAATAATAACAACACCTGACTTCTTACCTCAAATGTTAGTTTTCTAATTCAAATAGATTATAGACTTCTGAGTCAAAAGCTCTCTATAAATGTAAATCACTGATTCAAGGAAAACTATATATATTTTAAAGGATTTTTACTAGATTAGTTTGGATTGCAAATATAATGTATCAAGGGAAGGGTTGTCATATGTACATACAAATATTCAATGCAGTTTGTTTTTACATACTTACTGGTGAACCCCTAGGACTTCCCAATCATGTCCAATATCCTGGGGACCCATTAAGCTTTGCATTGTATTTGGACAGATTTCTATTAATTTGCATAAAAGTGACCAACCCACCTAAAAACAAGAAAGACAAATATTCACATTTTTTAAAAAAACCACACAAATAGAATATATTCAGTCAAAGAATCTCTTCATTCTTAATAGAATAGGTGGCTACATTATTTTAAAATAATTATTTTAAAACAAAATGATACTCTAAAAATGCTTACTGAGAAAAGCAACTCATATACTTAGAATACATCTTTCTTCAGAAATCTACTGAAAAGGCATACAAAAAATATTATAACATTTCTGAATGATGAAGGCAATACACTGCCTATTGTCTATATAAAAGGAAATAAAACACACATACACAAAATAATTTTAGAGGACACACCAAAATTATGAAGTGCAGGAAAGGCTATTCTCAGGCCTTCATACTTTTTAAGGCATATCTACCTGACAGATTTTCTTCTAAATATTTAGTACTTTAATTATAAGAAAAAATGAAGTAGTTTGGAACGGAGGATTAGGGAAAGTTGGAGATTTTGATGGCAAAGTGTAAGTTATCAGGAAAGACTGCTCCCCAGATAATGGAGCTAGAAAAAATAGCAAAAGAAGTAGCATTGTCTGATGACAATGTAACATCTTTCATAGGTAAAAGAGACACAGGCACTATGAGATAGAGAGGAGGTAGAATTTCTCAGTGGACCCCTCTAGATTTCTTCCGTACACCTAAATATGAGCTGATGAGATCTAGACATCACAAGTGTCCCTAAACTCTCTCACATTTCCAAATTAAGTATGATCTTACTGATGCATTTTAAATATACCTTCATTCAGCTCATTTATACATGATGCCAACTTGAATAAGCTGCTCTTTACTTCTGAAAAAAATACATTTTTTTACATACGATATTTTAATTCCAAACTGGAGATTAAATTTAACTCACTTTTCCTATTTATAGTTTCCTCCCCAAATTTAAGGACTCTTCAATTCTTTCTACTATATTACAGAACTAAACTTGATATGGTCAAAAAAGAAAATAGAAAATGCATATACATGCAGATCTAGAGATTAATGAAAAAGTGCCTAAGCACGATGTGTGATAAATACCAATATAATATGAACCCTGAAAGCAGGATTCGCTAGAATTACTCAGCGAAGAATATAATACAGAAAAGGTAGGATTTGAGTCAGATTTCAAAAGAATTATAAATTTGGTCACTCAAAATAGGGAAATGGAAACTTCCAATACTGATGAGTTGTGAGGAAGGAAAGTAAGATGCCAAATGGTGAGGAGGCTGCCAAAGAGGGGTCCATTGCTAAATGAGGCTGGATACGTGAGTTGGAGCTGAGTGGTACAGAGGGTTGAGTGACAAGGGGAGAAATCTCTATGCAACCAAAAAGGAATAATGGCATGTTTCCTACTTGTTTACAGGAATAAACAAGGGGTATTTAATAAGATAAAAGTGATTACATAAGATCTCTTTACAATATTATTTCCAGATCTTTTCTGGATTAAGCATGAATTGCTTTACTGTCATCACTTCCTCTTACATGATTTCAAATTCCTTGAAAAGGAAGCAATTTCTGACAGCTATTTTTACCTATATTTAAGTAGACAACCTCCTCCATGTAAGCCGAACAGATATTGACAATCCGGATGTCATAGAAACTGGCTATTTTTGTGCTTTCATAAAATCATCAAGACTATTTTCCCCAAGTATTTCAAAAATCAACATTTGGAACAGTTTCTGGTGGGAAATATAAAATTATAAATCACACAGGATGTTATACTCATCTCTGCACCTGCACGGCTAACTCAAGGAGAAAACCTGTTTTGCTTTGCTTGATGAAACAGCAGCATCAGTAATTGCTTTGCAAAAAGACTGAGGCAACTGAGCTTCCAAGATTAAACAGAATTGTTACCTCTGCAGCAAAGCAGAGGTAACAATTGATCCATTAATGTATTCAATTAAAAGCTTATCTTTCAAAAAGAGAAGGCTCCCATCCTGCACAGTTATAATACAATTAAATTGGTAGTTTTACTTTATTATAATTATTCTGTAAACTCAAGTATCTAAGTAATGCACAGTGGGA